AGCACGGTTCTTCCCTGCAATGCGACTCCCGATAACTGCGCCTGCCGTCCTCGCTCCTCCTTTTGGGACCCGTCTAGAGCTCCAGCCACTGTGAGAAACCTGGCACTGCAGTCATTCGCCCGTGATGTGCAGCTTAGATGACGTCTTCCCTCTTATACCTAATGCCTGATATATACCCACGTCTTGTGAGTTTTTAACCATTAGCCGCCCGGCCAATGGCCGTTTGGCGGCTTCAGATGTGTCTCTTCACTCCGGGTGCACGCCATGTGGCGTGCTCCCGCACATGCGCAGTTTGCGCTAATGCAGAGCGGCGCAGCAGTGCGATCTTTCACTGGCCGTGCACCTCGGACACGGCCGATGACAGATCCGAGTACCGGCTCCCGTTGCTGGTACCATGTGACCTGCTGTGACCAATCACAGCAGGTCACATGACAGTTGTATACAATGGATGGCTTCATTCATGATGCCATCCATTGTATACTAGTGCCTAGCTGTGAATGGTCACAGCTAATCACATGCACATGTCATGTGATTAGCTGTGACCAAATCACAGCTAAGCAAAAAAAAAAAAAAAAAAAAAAAAAAAAAAAAAGCTGAATGAATCGATTTCATTCAGGTAAATGCTTGCTTATAGCAAAGTAATTCTTTGCTATAAGCAAATTGTGTAAAAAAAAAAAAAAATACTGATCACTTCCCCAAAGTAGTACAATGTTACTATGGTAACATTGTACTACTTTGGTCATAGTAAAATATGAAAAAAAAAATCTTAAAAAAAATAAAAAAAATGTAATAAAAAATTAAATATAATAATAAAAAAAAAAATATATATATATATATTTTTTTTTTCATACTGTCACCAGTCAATGTCCCTGTTAACCGCCATGCCAGTTATATGATGACGCTGTACTGCACTGGTGACAGTATGTAAAAAAAAAAAATAGTGAAAATAATTTTTTTAATTTTTTCATTTTCCGAAAAATTATGACAAAAAAATACAACTTCAAAAAACTCGCCATGCCTCTTATGAAGTACGTCGGACTGTCTACTCTGCAAAAAGGGGTCATTTGTGGGATATCTGTACTATTCTGACATTCTTGGACCTCAAGAAATTAGATTGGCTGTCACTACTTCAGGATTGATCAATATTCAGATCTATACCATAGTTTGTGAACTCTATAACTTCCTACAAACTAAAAAATACATCCTAATTTGGGTTATTTTCACCAAAGACATGTAGCAGAATACATCTCGGCCTAAATTTATGAAGAACAATTATTTATTTGTAAACTTTTATAACAGAAACAAAGAAAAATGTGTTTTTTTTTCAAAATTTTTGGTCTTTTTTTTTTAATTTAGCAAAAAATAAAAACCCCAGCGGTGATTAAATACCACCAAAAGAAAGCTCTAGTTGTGTGAAGAAAATGATAAAATTTTAGTTTGGTTGTTGTATGACCGTGCAATTGTCATTCAAAGTGTGAGAGCGCTGAAACCTGAAAAAAGGCCTGGGCAGGAAGGTGTAAAATTGCACGGTATTGAAACGGTTAATATCTGTTAATAAACTGTTACTAACTTACTACACTAACTTACTACACTCAGCCTGGCACACCTCTCTCTCCTCTATTCCTCTACACAGAGTCCGGTTTACTCTAGAGAGTGCAAGCCTCACGACGGTGTCCATATTGCAGCATATATATATATATATATATATATATATATATATATATATACACATATACATATATATATACATACATATATATATCATCTATTCCTACCTACCTTCTACCCAGTACTGCCTGTACTACAAGACTCCTTCCTCCCCCCTCTTCTTAACATTTAAGCTGCACAACCCGCCCTGTACAACCATATACTTTTGTCACTCCCACTATACTATATATATATATATATATATATATATATATATATATATACACACACATATATACATATACACACTCCAGATCTCTTTTTTTATTTGCGTTGAAAAAAAAAACCCCAACAACTGAACTATTCATATATCTCCTAAGACTTTCTGTGTGAACTCTATACCCATCACTACCTCTCTTGCGCCAATTACATCTTTTATTTGTAAATAATTCCCTTCAGGAGGCAAATCATTGATTTTACTTTTTAATTCTAATCAAAATAAGTTATATATGCCCAGTATTTTCACACAGTGTGCTTTTGCTAACTTTAGTTGACATTTTGAATGTCCTAGCCATGAAACTTTATTTTATAAAAAAAAATAAATAAATCTCTTTGTAACCCCCAACTTTATTACATATGAAGAGGTGTTTCAATACACTGGTCACTGCATTTTGCTGTAAACATTGGGAAAATAAAGTAGCTGGTAGCTATGAACATAGCAAACACAATGGCAGCGCCTGACCTCCATGTATGCAATATCCAGACTTTCAGAGGCGTGAAGAAGGTAGTACTAGCAGAGGTAACCAGTTTGGCATCAGTAATACACAGGAGATGTCCTACTTTTTACAGACTTTCAAGAGGCCCATTAATTCAGATCAATCATAATACATCCCAGAGGTGGATACAAATCTATCAGCTTGTCCATTAGCTCCAAGAAAGCAATGGAAATTTTTTGACTGTTCCCATGGCTCTCCTTTGCCGTTCCAACTGGTAGATGATACTAAACTATTACCAAGGGAAATGACTAAACAAATGAGGAGAATAAAATATAGTTCTTTGGTTCCAAACAACAAACCCCACACCTTCCCCCTGCTTTTCCTTTTATAGATAGTGACCATAACTGTTTTTCTTTTTTCTATTCCATATAGATTCACCAATGCAAACCACTGTTGAGGTCAGGCTTGTGGCCGCCAACACCACATCTACTTAATTTTTACAAGACCTGTCCTAGATCCTGCAGTCCAGAGGCTTTGTAGAGCTTTGTGTAGAATAAAGCCTCCGTTCCTAGGTTTACATTTTACCTGGTAGCCAAACACCATATTTAAGTGTCCAGATGTCTTTGTATATGTGAGCTGAATGATGCTCAAGGCTACTCTTTCTACTGTAAGGAACTGATAAAAACTGATAAAAATTTAGTTAGTGACTCAAAAACACAAACGTTATACGCTATAGAATTGCTGCACAAAGCCCTCCTGCATCATCAAACTGTGATGTTTACTGCCTTGCTAACAAACCTGCATGGATTGTTCTGCTTTAACATGCATTATATCTCTTATATATATTTTGGGATACAGCTTTAAGAAGAACTTTTAAGAACTTGACTCACCAACTTTTTAGGGTTTTTCTGCCCACTTTTATTTAAAAGAAAAGTTCTTATACATAAGGGTTTCCCTCCCAGGGGTCCACACCACCATCCCATCGGGTCCACACCACCATATAGGACTCCCATCGCAATGCAACAGTTTTAGCCTTCTAAAGTGGCTATTTTGGCCTGAACACGTAACTTACAGGCCATGAAGGATTCTCTTTTGTGGAGCAACACCCACCTCACACAGTCAGTACTCTTTTCAGTCTTCCTCTTAAGGCCGATGGCTACTGAAAGTGTAAACTTGATACCCAGCTTGGGCTGTACAAACTAAAGAGTAAGTAGTGCTTTTCAAACTTGAGGACTACTATTTGCTGAATTTCGAATCCAGGACACCCTCAAAAAAATATAAACTCTGTGTATTATCAACATAAAACACTCGTGAAAACTAAAAGTGACTCCTCCTGGACCCACTCACACTCCAAAATGTGATAAAGTGCAACACTCAGATACCATCCAAATAAACTAAATGGTCAAATGTGGCCATCTCTCTGTGATTTCCCTCTTCCAGGCCTGAACACGTAACTTCCCTGTTCCTCAAAAAGGGGGCATGACTCAATGTAAATTTAAAACACGCTCCATCCTCTTGTGGGGGGGGGGTTTGAAGGTTCAAGATTCTCTTTTGTGGAGCAACACCACACCTGGCACACAGTCATAAAACACGAGCCTCCATCTGCTCAGATACTCTTTTCCCTGCTGAAACAGTCAATAACTTCCTCTTAAGGCCATACACAGACACACACACACTGCACAAACACAAAAATATCAAGCTTAAAGTGTATTTTCATTTCTGAAGCCAAACTGGGATAAGACCTACATTATATTTATTGTTCCCATTCACATAGGACAACTTAAAAAATGCTACTTTTACTTGGTCTTTTCAGAAAAAAAAAAACAAAACTAAACCTGACATTGTCCTCAGCTATGCAGACGAGGTTGGGGATATAATGTTTACCATAAAAAAAACGCTGTGTACACTGTGCTGGCAGATCTCATTATTAGCCAGAAACTATATTTGAATAATGTCTGTCGTAACAAAAAGTTAAAGATTTAGAAGCTGGGATTCTGCATTGTATGTTATGAGAAGAGATTCAGTAGGGAAAATTTACTAAAACTGGAGAGTGCAAAAAATCTGGTGCAGCTCTGCACAGAAACCAATCAGCTTCCAGGTTTTATTTTTTTAAAGCTTAACCTCCCAAGCGGTCTGATTATGTCCATATTTATGTGCTCAAAGCGGTACATTTTTTTGCATGGAAATATGTATTTTTTTTATTGTAGGCCTGTAAATTTTAGGAATAACTCACTGAAATCTGTTTAGTAAACATCCCGGGTATGATAAAATTTTAAACACAAAAATCATAAATTATAATTTAATAAATAATCATAAAAAATAATAATATAATAATAAATTTAATTCAATAATATAATCAAACCAAAAACACTGAAATTTGAAATATAGCGCCAAGTTCGCACAGCACTGAGCAAAGTCGCAGAATCGTTTTCAGTGTCTAATGACGAATTTCCCCACGAATTGTTATCACTCGATTCTGCAAGTAGTTCTAATTTACTATCGCTGTTCTCTAGCTGGTCTAAAACCGTTTTTTGACCTAAAGGGACGCTATTTGGACACCATGAACGTTTCTCAGTTTCCAGGCAGAAAGAAGAGTAAAAATGCAGGCAGGGCACAGGACAAAGCAGTAGGGACAAAATGTATGTGAAATGGTTTGATACAGTAATGTTTTACTATGTGATTTTAGTGAATGTCACTTTTTGTCATTTTCAAATTTCCCGCCGTTCCGTCCCCCGTACGTCCCGACGCTCGCAGGGGACGGAACCCAGATGACAGATGCCAGCATCCGCGGGATTACATTGCCGGGGACACTGCAGGAGGGACATCGTGGGAGCGCAGGACAAGGTAAGTGAAGAACAGATGCCGGAGCAGCGCCGCATGGTAAGCCCGAGTGTTGCTCGGGGTTACCGCTTTTGGTACTGAAACTTTACCCCGAGCTACACTCGGGAATACCGTCAGGGAGGCTACTTAAACAAGCAGAATTTGGTGCACCTGTGCATGGTAGCCATTCAGAGTGCTGCAGTTTTAGTAAATCTCCCCTAGTGTGTCCCTCCTTGTCAGTGGGGACAGACTGAATTTCCATTCTTTTAAAATTGTTCTGAGCAACTTGCAGTCTGCCCAAGGCCTGCTCTAAACAAACACCTAGAAAGGTAAGAAAACATTTTATAAAAAATATTTTTAGACATGCTGTGTGAATGGGAACATATAAACGCATTTAAATATTTAACTATTTTGAACTTTTATTATAACATTTAAGGTAATGCTAGTCTCCATATATATCACTGCTAGTTCCCTCCATGCAATCCAAAGCCTAAGCAATAAATATAAGATCTTTGAATACTAGTATAAAGGGTGCTTCACGCCATTAGAGACCATAGAGAATCTACTTCTTATAATCAAGTCTGGTGGACTTGCAGTGAGATAGGATAATCAGAAAGGAACAACACGGTTCAGCAAAATCAAGCAGAAACCATAAGGCTCCATGCACAATGGGAGTTTTGATAATTCTGGTAACGTTAGCTGTGTAAAGTCATGTTAAAAAAGCAAGTTTTTCAGCATTTTTGCATTAGCGTTAAGCAGCGTTTTTTTCGTGTTTGCGCTTTATAGTGGTTTTTTAACCAAAGAAAGTTTGGGGGTTTTTTTCTCAAAAAAAAGTCCAAAAATGTTGGTTTGCAGCGTTTTACTGTGTTCTGCCACGTTTTTCAGTTTTAAAGCATTTTTACAGCTAAAAAACTTTAGAAACCCACTAGTTCTGGGGTTTTTTTCCTGCCAAAAAACCACTGATTACAGTCTACAGTGCATGGACACATAGGTTAACATGCTGGGGAGATTACTGGCTATAGAAAAAACGCCAAAAGCCAAATAGAGAAGCTGTAATACATCCAGTGTGCATGAGGACTAAGTGTAATGTGCAATAAAGCTCCCCTTCCTCTCCAGATACATTTATAATGTCAAACTATAAACAATTGGGCTTTGATACAATTGATTATTATTTATTTTACATGCATCATTAAGGCTATAGTTCCCCTTTAACTACCCTTTCATAATATTTATGTCCTAAATGTGCCACGTAAACTGTTGCTGCTATTTTAAATCAACAAATACAACTTTATTCATTAGTGAAAACAAAGGATTTCATCTGATTCTGGAATTACACCTACTTTTGCACACAATTTTACATTTAAATGAACGGAAGCTTCACAATAACTTTTCACAAGCAAAGCTTGTTGTACTGAAATTTTCAGCAAATCAGAGATACTGTACAGCATATAAATTACTCTAATAGTGTTAATTCCTAACAAGAGGAAATCCATGTGGAAAGGCCTGGCTCATCAAACATCAAGAGAACATAGGACATACTAAAGTGGCCCCTTCAATTTTATTTGTTCTATTTTTTGAGAGACTAAAAATGCCTTAAATATCATCATAGGCTACTTAACCAGGCTCTTAGTAGACATTGGGGTTTATTTACTAAAGGCAAATATACTGTATGCTGCAAGTGCAGTTGCTCCAGATCTTAGTAAATGATGCTGATTTCTAGCATTCAATCGTGTGCAAGCAAAAATGCAGTTTTTTTTTTTTTTTTATTTTCCTTGCGTGTGATTGGGTATTATTTGCAAAGTGAAGCTTTACCTCATTTACTAAACTCTGAATCAACTGTACTTGCAGTGTACAGTATATTTGACTTTATTAAAACAACCCTATTCTTTTTCTTTCCTATTCTTTCATATTTTCTTGGGGACAGCCTTACAAAGACTACAGAAAATATTCAGTTATGGATGAACAAATATAATTTATCTACTAATATTTGAACATGCATGTATGGACAGATATAGTAATCTCTAGTCTGCTAATAAGCATCTGTTTGCACCCAAAGCTCTGCTTGTACAAATAATCACATTTGGTAATGATCTTGATAGAGCTACTGTCAACACCAACCTACACTTATCTCTTATCTTCTCATCTCATAGCACTAAAGAAATTACTCCAAAAACAAAAGGTAAGAGACATCAGAGCAGAAATTTACTGGTTAAATCTTTTTCATTGTTGCTTTTCCATAGCAAACTTGCTATGCCTACTGTTCAGTTTGCAAAAGGTAAAAGATTTATGTTACGCAAATATCAGTTCAATGAAGGGTTTGTATAAAGGCAAACAGCAATGGTTGGCAGTTATACATACACAGTTAGATCCAAGGCTTACAAGCAGACATACTGCATCTTTAATAACAATATGTAAAATCAGCTAGTAACACCTGCAAATTTTATGACTGTGCTAAAATAAATCTGTTTATATCTTGCCTAAAATATTTTTTTTTTTACAAGTATACCAGGTAATATAGATCTCTAAAGTGGAAGTAAACCTCTGCAATTAAAACTGAACAAAGGATATCCTTCTATAGTATGTAATTGTCTCAACCCAAAGCACCTAACTTGATTTCTGTCTGCTCGCTCATTCCTCTGGCATCTGCATTAGTCCCTTCTGACAGTCTATGCTCACACCACGCAGTAAAGGCGCTTTAAAAGAAGCCCTTATTCAGCTCTGTATCTACATGCATTGTGAGGAAATTGATTTAAAAAAATTAACATGACCTCTGTATTTTTATATGCAGTAGCAGATCTTGACAGGTTGCAGCCCTCTAATGTAAACAAGAAACTGACTGAAAGCAGACTGTGACAGACCCAACTGGGACAGGGTCTTTTGAAGGGGACTGCAGGCTAGCCTCTTGCCTACTGACTGTGGGCCCTGAGGGGCTCTATTGTTTATAAATAGAAAAGTATATAGAAAAATTCAGTCAAGAACCCACTTACTTGCTTCACCTGGTGTGGGTACTACATTTCAGCAGCTACTTCCATACAAGTTATGGATTCCACCTAAGTAACTCCTGTCTATGTACATTGTTTCTCTGGTTTCCTCTTCCAGTTATAATTCTCTCCTGTTTGCCCTGTTCCTCCCTTATATTAGAATTATATACCTAGCATACAGTGAATATAAAAAAGAATTGCCCTTGCTTTGCAGCCTGAAATGAAAACAAACAAAGTTTTTGTTTTATACAGCTGTATTTAAAACTTGCAACATCCAAGTGAAAGATATAACAGCATCATGTCAGAAAAAAAAAAAATCAAATACAGAATCATGGAGTTGGAAAAAGGATCATCCCCTTGTGTTAGTATTTTGCTGAACCACCTTAAAAGAAGTACAGCCAAAGCTCTTTTGGGCTGCTGTATGTCTCCTGTGGATCACAGGAGTGCAGTTTGTTCTGCACTCCTGTGACCCTTTTTCAGCCGGTCCAAGCTGGAGAAAGATACTGACTTTAAAGTCGAGATCCACACCAGAGTCTGGGGCGGCACCTGGCTCAGTCTCTCAGCAAGGAATCCACTGAAAACCTGAGCCAGCCACTCCCTCCACAGTAAAGCGCTCCAGTAAGCACGGGGTAGCGCACAGTAGACAGTGGTGACTGAAAGGCACCGCTCTCTGCTCAGAGCAGGTCACGATTGCTGAGTTCTCACACTTAGAGCCGACATGAGACAGATGCAGGAACCACCTAGGTATTTATGTTTTTTTTTTAAAAAAGGAATTCCCATACTTTTCTATTAACTACAGCCTTTAGTATGTTGGGATTTGTCTCTGACTTCATTTCAGGCTGCAAAGCAACAAAATGTGATTATTTTAAAGGGGGTGATTCTTTTCTATACACACTATACAGCGAAGGAAATAAGTATTTGATCCCTGCTGATTTTGAATGTTTGCCCACTCACAAAGAAAGGATCAGTCTAAAAATTGAATGGTAGGTGTATTGTAAAACAGAGAAAGAATAGCAACAAAAAAAAAAAAAATCAAAAGAAATGCATGTCTAACAAATTATGCACTGATTTGCATGTTTATGAGGGAAATAAGTATAAGTAGTCACAAAACATTACTTAGTACTTGGTGGCAAATCCCTTGTTGGCAATCACAGAGGTCAGACGTTTCCTGTAGTTGGCCACCAGGTTTGCACACATCTCAGGAGGGAATTTGTCCCACTCCTCTTGGCAGGCCCTCTTCAAGACATTAAGGTTTGGTGGCTTTCAGCTCCCTCCACAGATTTTCAATCGGATTAAGGTCTGGAGACTGGCTAGGCCACTCCAGGACCTTAATGTGTTTCTTCTTGAGCCACTCCTTTGTTGCCTTGGCTGTATGTTTTGGGTCATGGTCATGCTGGAACACCCATCCATGACCCATTTTCAATGCCCTGGCTGAGGGAAGAAGGTTCTCACTCAAGATTTGACGGTACATTGCCCTGTCCATTGTCCCTTTGATGCGGTGCAGTTGTCCAGTCTCCTTAGCAGAAAAACACCCACAAAGCAGAATGTTTCCACCACCATGTTTGACAGTTGGGATGGTATTCTTTGGGTCATAGGCAGCATTCCTCCTCCTCCAAAAACGGCAAGTTGAGTTGATGCCAAAAAGCTCAATTTTAATCTCATCTGACCACAACACTTTCACCAGTCCTCCTCTGCATCATGCAGATGTTCCGTGGCAAACTTCAGACAGGCCTGGACATGTGCTTTCTTGAGTAGAGGGACCTTGCAGGCACTGCAGGATCTCAATCCTTGTCGTTATAGTGTGTTACCAATTGTTTTCTTGGTGACTGTGGTCCCAGCTGCCTGGAGATCATTGACAAGATTTTCACGTGTAGTTCTGGGATGATTCTTCACTGTTCTCATGATCATTGACACTCTACGAGGTGAGATCTTGCATGGTGCACCAGATCTAGGGAGACTGACAGTTGTTTTGTGTTTCTACCATTTGCAAATGATTTCACCAACTGTTGTCACCTTCTCACCAAGCTGCTTGGCGATAGTTTGGTAGCCCAGTCCAGCCTTGTGTAGGTCTACAATCTTGTCCCTGACATCCTTGGACAGCTCTTTGGTCTTTGCCATGGTGGAGAGTTTGGAATCTGGATTGTTTTGATTGCTCCTGTGGACAGG